ATATATAGAAATACAAAGTCACTATGTTGTGTAACAGGAACTAACAGTGTTGTGGATCAATTACACTTCAAAAACAAACAACAGGCAAACTCATAGAAAAGGAGATCAGATTTACAGTGAACTAGAGGCAAGGGCTGGGGGAGGCAGAACTGGGCGAAGGTAGCCAAAAGGTACAAACTTCCGGTTATAAGTAACTAGTAGGCGTGTAATGTCCTACATGATAAATATAAGTAACACTGCTGTATGTTGTATATAAAAGTTAAGAGCAAAATCCTAAGAGTTCACATTACAAGGAAATGATTTTTTTCTATTTCTTTAATTTTGTATTTCTATGAGACCACTGATGTTCCCTAAACTTAATGTGGCAATCATTCATGATGTTTTCAAGTCAAATCGTTATGCAATATACTCAAACTTACACAGTGCTGTCTGTCAATTACATCTCAATAAAACTAGAAGAAGAAAAGACTGAATATTTTTCTTCTATAGGAAGAATATGTTTCTTTTAGATTCATAATAATGGCATTTCGATCTCAAGAATGTAGGTTCCCCTAAGAAACTCATTTGCCCATCTTTATAGCTCACATTTCAGAAAGAGAACATGAGGGAACAAAGCTCTGCCTGATACCAAAAATCAGGTAGGTAATTTGGTGAACTGGCCATGGCAGTATGACTAGAAAAAAGCAAGTCGTCTACTTCAGAGTAAACGACGAGTCATGGAAAAATATAGAAGAGAATTCTGCATCGCTTATTTAATTGAAGAAAAATTTATGGTCTTATCCATGTAATTGTCACAAGCAATCCATCTTACAATTAGCTACTAATCAACTCTCAGTGAGTCACGAGGCTCACAGCATCATGGGTGCAAAGATGATTACACGAAGCCTTCCACGGGGAGGTTTATGACTTACTGGCGTGAGGCGGCAGGTAAGAGGGACCCAAATGAGTGCCGAAACACTGCAAGGCAGAAATGATTTCATACAGTGGGTGACGATTCTGTGAGGGGAGTCTGATGATGACGATGATGGCGGTCCCTCCCCCCACCACTCACCGAATCCTTCCTACACGTTAAGGCACAGTTTTTAAAGCACTTTTGACGGAGTATCTTCCTTGATCCTGAGAGTAGCCCTGTAACATTGGTGACACTGAGCTTACGTGTATCCAATAACGTATGCAAGCCAGTATTCAAACCTGAGCTGCCTGGCTCCAAGACTGAACCATCTTAAAGTTTGTTCCAAGTTGTTGCGGCATTAAGATCTGTACAAGTCTCATGGGCGAGAAGCTGTTTGTTTACGTTTTAAAGCCATAAAGAAGGCAGGGCTGAGCTGACAAGCCAAAAAGGAGACTGAAATTCAGTGCGTACATAGGACTGGCTATTTATATTCAGGAAATACTAACAGAGTGGTTCTGTTACAAGCCGGGAAATCGTCGAAAACCAAGCTGGGAAGTTCCTGAGATCAGGGGCTTATATGTTAGGAACAGTAACTTGTGGTTCACCGAACCTCCTGAATTCTTGGCACATGAGGGAAGTTGTGGTTCAGGAGGACTCACTGGGCCACAGTGGGGATAAAGATAGTGTAGTGGGTAAGAGTGAGAGTCTGAAAGCAAACAGCCCAGCTGCCATGTCTGATCCCTGCAAGTAAACGAACCCTAGAAGTCCGTTCCTCGTCCACAGAGATACCCTCAGTTCTGATGACAGTGAAGATGACCATGGTTGTGGGAATTAAAGTAGGTCCTTTATATAAAATGTTTGCTATGGGACATGTCGTTGGTGCTCAGTAAGTGCTAGCTTTTATGATTAATGTATCAAGGACAGACTGTAGCAAAGAGACACTGACAGCAGGGACACAGCTTAATAGGCTACCTACACAGATGAGAACAGACAAAATCGTGAACTAGGACAGTGGCAGTGGCAACTGAAAAGAGGACAGTTACACAAGATATTTCAGAGGCATAAGTGCCTGGGTGATTCACTAGATGTGGGAGGCAGACATGTGACTCTCCGAGTGCTCACGCCTGGCTCACTGGGACAATGATGGTGCTATTCCCAGATACACAGCAATCAGGAACAGAGGATGGTGTGAAGGACAAATCATGGGTCTGGAATCTGTTCTGATGTATTGACCACAGATTCAAAGTATTCTTTAAGTCGTATCAGTCTACCGCCCAGGCAATGTTTTTCTCAAGAGTGACACAGATACCAATGCCGATAAAGATGATTCAGGTGCCACACTGCAGGGTTATCACATAACACTGAATTATCCGGTGAGGAAGAAGATTCCTTCCTGTGACATGTTCCTTCTGTCCTTCTGTTGAAACCATGGAACGGCTGTACTTCGGTGCTAGCTGCACTTGCCCTGTTCTCTAGTATCTCTCTTTTTCAACATACTCAGAGTCTGGGGAACACAAATATATACACTTAAAATTTAAGGACATTTATTTTTCATTCTATTTTTATATCAAATTTCTATTTATGTCAGATGCTTCTGCTTTTCCAATTACGGTCCTAACCTGAACTTCCCTTTAAAAGATTCACTTTCCTAATAACAATGAGTCCATGTAAACACCAAAAACACCACAGAACCTGCAAAACAATCACCACTTGCATAAAACAAAGTCATGGAAGGCGGACTGGAACGGATGCAGGCTAGAAATCCCCGCGGTAAGTAAGCCAAAGTTTAGGCAACATTCTCTCCGAGTTGCGACAGAATTCTCAAAGGGAGATACATTTACTGTAAGCCTAGGAGAAAAACCACATTGTCATAACAGCCAAGATTCAAAAAGGCTAGAATTTTGATCTTCTGATAATCTCCCAAGAAAGCTGTTAATGTAACTTCCTTGTGGATGATTAATTAGTTACAGAACTACGCTTTGAAGATAAGAATGTCATCAGGAATAAGACAAAAGATCACGGAGAAATTCCGATCATTACAGCATCGACTATGACAAGAGTCAGGCTGCCTCTCGGCACCAGTGTTCCGTTCCAGTTTAGCCAGTTTCTCTTCACAGAGACAACTGAAACGGTACCGCACACACAAAAACAGCCCGGCAAGAGCAGGGAGCGCAAGGAGGTCAGGGCGGGGGCTAACTACCGCACTAAAATTCACGAGGACTTGATACAGTCAGTGGTGCCACTCAGTATCCAGTCTGTTATCAATACAGTTCAGCTTCGATTTCTCTAGGAAGATTAATAGCCTTGTGAAAAGAAACCTTGATAAATATTCTTGCCAAGCTTTAACTAAGCAGATCATTTTCTTTTGGAAGTATCTCTCACTGGAGGGTAAATATGCTCTAGGTCATTCTCAAAATGAAACCTTGGGGAGGGGGTGATGTTAGACGCTGCGATACAAAGCCAGCCCTTCCCTCACTACCATTTGGTTTTAACGTCACTCTGGATTCACATGACTAAACAGAGGATCTGCTAGTTACGAATTTGCGAGTTCTGTTTTAGGGTGCTGGAATAATTATGGAAATATGAATACACAACAGAATTTAATGCCCAATTTCTCATTCTGGAAGCATGTAGACTTAGAGATTATTTTTACATGTGTTCTGTCACAGACAGGAGACCAGTTCTAAGACAATCTTGAATCTTTTTGGGGGGACCAAAAGAAAGATTGTTTTAGCACTTGATGGTCAGGATTTCCAGTGAGTAAGAGAACATAAGGCCATGTTTTAAAAGTAGATTAGAGCATTTCTTTGATTTTCTTTCAGATTCTTTTTGCAACATAAGAGAGTTTTTGAAGAAATCTGAAAATGCCAAAAACAACGGCAGAGCCAGAGAACTCTTTGATTTAGAGGGTAGTGTTGAAGAAAGCAGAGCCTTAAATTTCCATTTCTGTATAGGTCCTTAATTTATTTCTCTCTGTACAATAGACCAAAGCCTTCCAAATTAGTCAACACACAAAAATATGTCCTATGAATTCCAGGGGGGGGGGAAAGGCAGGTATGAGAGAATGAATCAACAGAAAACAGCTTCACTCATGGAAATAAATATAAAAAGGTATGTCTTGTTAAAAGGTAAGCTGGGAACACAATGTTTACATTTGAAATTAGGATATATTTAAATTCACCTAACTTTAAAAAGGAGTAGCTGGAATAAGTTATACGGAGTATGTACTCCACACTGCGGAAGGTTTGTACGAACCTGTAGCCACCCATGAGACAGACCTGGTCCAGAAATGTGTCTGACTTCCCCCGCACATGGTTTTTAAAATCAGTTCAACTAATACCATTAAAAATAATGATATACGATATACAAATACAGATTTTTAGTTTCCTGACCACATTAGGTCCCATGCATCCTTGGTCAGTATCATTATTAAGCACTACTTACCGGATGCTCACTCAGTGCCAGGTGTCATTCTCAGCGCCTTACCTTTTCATTCCCATACATCCAGAAGGCCAGTGACGCAGACCCTTCTGTCCACACCGGCTATCTGGGAGAGCCAGTCCCCTGAGAAACTCAGTAGTTTCTTAAAATCTGTAGCTGGTACCTGATGGAGTTGGTATGTGAGCCCAGGCCTGTCTGATACCAAAACCCAGTTCCTTATTCACAGACGGAGCCGGTTCAAAACGTTTCATCACTGAACAGAGGATTAGTCCATATCCACTATGGTCACTTTTCTGCATTGTTTAAGAGTTAATTTTCCCCATGTGAGACATTAAATGCTGTTATTTCAATATATTATGAAACGTATTTCTTAAAAGAAATATTACACCTGTGCCTGATAAGTATTTTCCCCTTTTTCAATAATTGCTTCTCATTTTTCCTTAACGGAAATTAAGCAAATTGTTCACTTACCCAATTTGAATCTGATTTGCTTTAAATTGATAGAGTCCATTTATATTTATACATTATACTAGAATACCATGATCACTTGTCTCTCATCAATTGAAACACTTCATTCAATTTTCTGAATATTATTTGTTTTCTGAATCATACATACTGGAAATTAAACTGTGGAAGGGTCACTCAGAATTGTTTGAGTGCATCTTACCAGAAGTCGTCTTCACCACTTCAGTGGTGTTTCTCAGTCCAACAAAGGAAAACTGATAGAGCCTCCAAGACCTTGTGTCGCCCACTTCAACGGAACTGCGCTTCCACTGATAGACAATTTCTTCACGGGGATAGCCATCTGCCACGAGATGAGAGAGCACACATTTCAAATGCTTAAAAATGAACAAACGGAGCAGCCACCTTCTGTGAACAAGACACTGAGGTGGATACCAAGGGAGACAGAGCTGTGCTTTAGATGAGGACCCTGGACTGAAGAGCACTACAGCAGAGGACATCAATACGGTGACGTCTTGTCCTGATGGGAAGTGAAGTTAAAAGATCATGAGATCAGCATTACCCTTGAGAAGCTCTTAAATTACACAGAAGGCATAAGGCATACTCTGCATGGTGTTGTATACACTACATGCATCCTTTGCATTGTCTGGGGTAAAAGATAAAAAGTGGCCAGTATATAATTAATGGTACATATGCAAGATATTGTTTTATGATGAAAGAGTCTCAAAAGGGCAAGATTTTTGAGAGTCATGCAGAAACAGAAAATGATGGAAGAGGAGCAGACTCAAATCCGTCTCCGGGGCATGTCCTTGGAGTCGAAGATGATTGGGAAAAAATACCTCAACTGTTTATGCTCTCCCTCAGTTTGTTGAGACTTCATTTTATACACAGAAATCTACAATTAAAGGCAGTAAGTGGAAATGTCAAGGGGAAGACACCAGTGAGGACTGCGGCTCAGTCATGTTCAGCCAAGAGAACAGGAAGCATTCATGAGAAAGAGATTACGCTGAAAATTAGCGATGATCAGTACCTTTTCCTAGCCATAATACCCTAGACAAGTTTCTTAATTTTTTTTCCTGAATTATTTGTTTCCTTATGGGGATGATGAGCATACTTATTTCATGGAATTAATGGTCAATATATAGTTGTTGAATGGATAAACATTATTATTAAGTAACCTGTAGAATAAACTCAAGTAAGAAAGATAGGTATGTAGATACATGGAAGGATGGATGGATGGACAGACAGATTGATTATAAAACTAGGAATCTACTCAACTGTTTGTCTTCTAATAACGCTATGGAAAGAAAAGTTTTGATTATGGAGGCTGATTGACTTCTTGGAATAAAATCCTTTATGTTTCCTTCT